TCAGCCTGTGGAAGAATAACTATATATAACATTTCCAGAGGCCAAACTAGTGACAATGAATAAAATGAATGAAAATATTGCATATCTGGAAATTACACAGCTAGAAATATGTAGAGAAGAAACACAAACATGCAGTAAGATACAGCTATGGAGCTGTTTGCTGAAATTTTGTTACAACAGTGAAAATCTGTAAACTGTATAAATATCCAACAATAAAGAATATTTAATGAGAGGCAAAGATGCTTTGATTGGTTATAAAGATAAAGAAGTTACAATACTATGTACAGTATTATCCTTTTTTTAAAGGGAGGCACATATAAAATAACTGGAAGGATATACTATCAGAATTTCACGATGTTTGTTTCTGGGTAGTAGGATTTGACAATCTGTGTTTTCCCTTCACTCCCCCCTTTTGGATCATCTGTATTTTTTATAACTCTGCCCAAAAGAAATATAATGTGAGACACACATGTAATTTTAAATGTTCTGGTGGCCACGTTTAAAAAGTAGAAAGAAACAGATAAAATAATCTTCTTAAGATATTTTATTTTACTCAATATATCCATTATTATGTGTAATCGATATAAAAATATTAATAAATATTTTAGCACTAAACCTGTTTAACACTAAATGCAGTGGGTATTCACATTTACAGAACATCTCTATTTGGGCCATCCACTTCTCAAGCACCACATAACCGCATTTGGCTCCTAGCACGGCTCTATGAAATAATAGCAGTTAATATTTATCAAAAGCCTACTATGTTCCAGGCACTGCTCTAAGTTCATCAGGTGGAGATTATAACTCATTAGGTCTCAATAACTCCATGAGGTTGAACTTATTGTGCTCTCCATAAGCACATGTTGCTTGCCCTTGTCCTAACACCATAATGAAATGTTTGGAGCTTTTGCAAAAGCCATTTTCCTAATATGATGGGCATCCAAGTCTGGTTGCAAAGGCTTGGGTAGAGGGCAAGTGAGAGAGTTGGAGAGAGACTAAAAATCATTCAAGAAGTTTTGTGGTGAAGAAGACAAGTCAAAAGACTGTGGGAAACATGAGGACAGAAAACTCTTTCTAAGGCAAGGAGACATAAAGATGAAGTCAGGCTGAATAAGAAAGAAAGAGGTGAAAGGTGAAAGAGAGATGGCTGGGGGTGTGGCTGGTCCAAATTCTCACAAGAGCTCTGTTGGAGAAACATTGCCTGGCTTGTGCTGGTGGCAAGATGTACACAGCAGTTCCCAGCTAGAGGGAGCAGGGAGTCATGGCCTGGTGAGGGGGACAGAAGGAGACACACACAACTCCATCGCGCAGGTGAATGCTATGAAAGAATGGGGTGGAGGGATTCCCAGGGAGATGAATTGAGTTTTAAGAATGAAGTTAGCCAGCAAAGAAGCAAAAGGAAGAGGATATGGACTTGAGGATTACATCACTGGACGACTGAGCCACTGATTGGATGTGGAGGATGAGAGAGTGAGGCTTTGAGGTGATTCCCAAGTTCTCCGCATGGACAAAGGCAGAGACAGTATCTTGTACTGAGTGCTTCTTTGGAGTCTGACATTGATCCAGTGCACCACATATGTTAGCTGATATACTCCTCACAGAGGTCCCATATCATGCTTGCCATTTCACAGATATGCAAGCTGAGGCAAAATAATTGGCCCAGGGCTCACCACTAATAAATAGGAGAGTCTGGATAAGGGGCCAGGTTGTTCCAGAGATAGAGGGAGGAAGGGAGGGAAAATGTTAATGTGGGGCCAGAGCCAGAACAGTAGGGTAGGCTGTATCAGCCTAGGAGGCATCCGGCTATTCTCCAGAAAGTGAGGCTCCAGGTTGCAGGAGATGGGAACTTCAGGAAGCAGGTGGGAGGCTGGACAGGGGCAAAGTGAAAGGTAAGCAGCCTGAAGATGGGTGGGATATAGTGGACTCCAGCGTGAGGAGCCTCCAGTCTCTAGCAGAGCTCAGCAGCTTGGGTGGGAGGAAAGGAAGGGCAGGGAACAGAAGGTGGTGGGGGGAACAGGTTTTGGTTAAGATGGGCAGCTGTCCGGTGGTGAAGAGGGGAAGTATTTGTGTATAAGATCATTTGTGGGGGATGGTGGTAGAGGGAGCAGTATGAGAGTTTGGGAGGAACAGGGCAGGGGAGATGGCACAGGAGGAGATTGGGGTGGGGGCACTGATACAGAATCCAGAACACAGCGGCAGGCTTACAGACCCCCTGAGGGTGACAAATTCTTCTCTTAACTTGCTGCAGGGAAAACGACAAGAGAAGAGGTCCTAAGAGGAGTGAAAATAGAGGAAACTAGCTAAGGGATAAAGATAAGCAGAGCTATGGAAGAAAAAGAAGACAATTAGGGAAATACAGGAAAGGAAGCCGACAGAAAGGGGCGCTGGGAGAGCGAAGGGTGAGGGAGGACGAAAACAGAACTCCTATCGCCCAGCGCATTCCAACCCCCTCCTCCTCCCCGGGGAAGTATGGGACTGCATCCTGGCAGGGATGGAATGGGAGTGGAACCTAGGCCAGGCTGGGACCCCTGGGCTGTCCCAGCCCAACCCAGACGGTGACCAGACTCAAGTTACTGATCCTCTGCTGTTTCTTCATCTGTAAAGTGGAGTTAATGACAGACAACTGGATGTCAACTTTTTTGTTGTTTGTTTTAGAGATGGGATCTCCCTGTGTCGCCCAGGCTGGAGTGCAGTGGTATGATTACGGCTCACTGCAGCCTCGACCTCCTGGGCTCGAGAGATCTTCCTGCCTCAGCCTCCCGAATAGAAATGTCAGCATTTGAAAGCCTCACAAGGGAAGGTGGTGTAATAAAAGGTCTATCGATTTAGATATGAACAAGTACACCCAGAGCCACATGAATGAAAGGAGGTGGCCAGTGTAGATGGAAGTCTAGGACGGTGGGTAGATTCCAAGCTCCTCTACCTGCCCAGTTAAACAAGTTCGCGGCCCCTAGCCAGCCTTGCGATGGGGGTAGGAGGCGGGGGTCTGCGACAGGACGGGTGGGATTCATTACCAGGCTAGGAGTGCAAGGCCCTGGGGCCGGGTTCAGCTTGCTGGGCTCCCGTCTTGTCTCAGCCCCCAGCACTTGCTCTGTCGCCGCAGAGCACAGGCCCAGGCAACGTTTATCCAACCGAACCCGCATCCCTGTGGGAACCTTGCTCCAACAAAATCCCGTCGTTGTCTCCTTCCATATGGAACGAAAATCTTCTGTACCTCTGCCCAGCTCCGCACCCCCGCCCCCTTAGAGATACGGCCTGGTCGGGTCCTGGTCCCCCACTCGGCGGCGCTTCCCCTTTTCCCAGACTGAGGGTGGTGAAAAGGAGGAGGGGGAAGAAATCAGAGGAGGAAAAGTCGGGAGGGAGGGGAGCCGGGAGGCAGGAGAGGGGGAAAATAAAGAGCCTGAGACAGAAACGAGAGGAAAAGACCATCACAGAAAGCCGGAAATCTCCGGAGAGGCCAGCAAAAGAGACACCCGCGCTCCCCACTGATTCCATCATTCCTTCCGAAGGCGCCTCTGCGGTGTCTCCGCCGTGCCAGGCCCCGGGGTTCCCAGGACGCGGAGGAGTGCTGGGTGCGGCCGCCTCGCCTCCCCGCCCCTGGCCGCCCCTCCCCACCTCGTCCAAGGGGGCCGGAACGGCGTCGGCGCGCGGGGGCTTTTCGGAGCAGTCGAGTGGAAAATAGACTTTAACCCGCTTTGTGGCGGCCGGGGCGCCCGGAGCGCTCTCCAAACCAAGGCTCCTGGCGCTCAGGCGGGCCGCTGCCAAGACCCGGCCTGGAGTCCCTGCAGAGTTGCGCGGCGCGTGGACCCCGTGGCCTTGGGGCGTCAGGAGGCCCAGCCCGGATCTGCGCGCCCGGGCGGCGCTCAGGCCGCTAGGATGGACCCCGGCAGCGGCGAGGAAGCGGAACTCTCTGCGGCTTCCTCTCCACAGTGCGCTGGCAAGGTCCAGGTCCCAGCCTCCCCACCGCTGCCCGCGCCCTCCTAGGCCTCGGAGCACCGCCTTTCTGCGGCCTGGAAGGTCGGGGTGGGAAAGTTTGCGGAATTCCGGCTCTCACGGCCAGTCGTGAGAACTGCCCCCAGGGAATTCGTCCGCAACACAGAAAAACTGGCCGGAGCAGAGTCGTCCGCGGTTCCGCGGTTGCAGGTGGAAGGTGAAGGTCGAGGGAGGTCAGGCTGCCTCTGCGTGTCCTGACGGCCGGCGTGTTCTCTTGGGATGGGCTGCGGCTACTTGGACAGCTTCAATTTAAGCCACAGTGTCTCCGAGGCCCTGGCCTGGTCCGGCCCGCCGACACTTGAGCCCCCCGAGCCTCAGAGAAGGCGAGGAGGTGGATCGCCCAGTGCCGAGGCCCGCCGTCCTGGTCCGAGCCGGTCGCGGCGCGGTGGCTGGGCACAGGAGCTGCTTCCAGCCCCGCGAACAGCTGGAGGGTTGCAGTGGGACCGCTTCGGCGGCTTCTCCCGCGCAATGCCCCGTCTGGCCCCTTGTGAAGGCAGTGAGCGTCCCCTTTCCAGAGCTGTCCCCCGTGACATCCAGAAAACGCGAAACCTCAGGAACAAGGCCGCAGCTTCAGACCGCGGCCCAGGAGGCCGATAGTGGGTGAGTGGGAGAGTCCCGGAGAGCAGGAGAGCAAAAAGCTGGTTTTCGGGAAAACCAATATGTTGGACCCCAAACATCCACCCTCCTCTCGGATCCAAGTTCTTTGAGAACTGGAACGATATCCCAGGACGAATGGGAGAGTTAGGCTGAGCTACACACCGGGGAGGCGGGGATTGGAGTTTACCCCCAGGCCCTTCGGACGCCTTCTTCGGTTCCCGCGTGGGTTGAGACGGCGGCAGCGGCCACCAGACTCAGCTAAAGGGCGGAGTCGCGAGGAGAAGCCAGTGGCGAGGGGAGGAGGAGGCCTGAATCTCCCCGCGAAGGCTCCAGTCCGGCTTTTGCCTCCGACTGCGGGCTCCCTCCCCACCCGCAGTCCCTCGCCCCGCCCCGCCCCGCCCCCCACCTTGGGGCAGGTGAGCGGCGGCCAATGGGCGAGCGCGGGGCAGGTGCCCGCTAACTCGCGCCTCGCAGCGCTGGGCTGCTGGGGCCGGGCAGGGCAGTGCGGGGACACCGGGGGCTGGGGTCGGTCCCAGCGGGACTCCGAAAGGAGGGAGCCGGGCTCAGCCCTCGGGCCTTACCGGCAGCTCGCAGCCTCGCACGGAGCCCGCGCCTGTGCGGGCGCCTGGAGCTGCCCGCTCCGCCGCAGCTGCCGCCGCGCCTGGCTGTACGCTGTGGCCGGACCCCGCGCTCGCTCGCTCACACACCCCTCGCCGCTCCGCGCCTGGCTCGCCCGCGGGGGCCGAGCGCAAGCGGGCGGGCGTGGGAGGTGAGGGGTGCGGGCGGGTGTGCATGTGCCTGGCTGGGTGCACACCCCGCACGGCGGCGGCGCCAGGACGCGGAGCGCTCCCCAGAGCCCGGCTGCCTCGCACAGCTCCCGCGGCTGCGACCATGTTCCAGCCCGCGGCCAAGCGCGGCTTTACCATAGAGTCCTTGGTGGCCAAGGACGGCGGCACCGGCGGGGGCACTGGCGGCGGGGGCGCGGGCTCCCATCTCCTGGCGGCGGCCGCCTCTGAGGAACCGCTCCGGCCCACGGCGCTCAACTACCCTCACCCCAGCGCGGCCGAGGCGGCCTTCGTGAGTGGCTTCCCTGCCGCGGCCGCCGCGGGCGCGGGCCGCTCGCTCTACGGTGGGCCAGAGCTCGTGTTCCCCGAGGCCATGAACCACCCCGCGCTGACCGTGCATCCGGCGCACCAGCTGGGCGCCTCCCCGCTGCAGCCCCCGCACTCCTTCTTCGGCGCCCAGCACCGGGACCCTCTCCATTTCTACCCCTGGGTCCTGCGGAACCGCTTCTTCGGCCACCGCTTCCAGGGTGAGTGCCCACGCTGTGCCCGCCGAGGCGGCCGGCCGGCGCCCGCGCTGCGGCGATGCGGGGGAGGCTCGGGGGCGCGCGGGGCCGTTCAGAAGTTACTGCTGGGAAGGCTGCAGGTCCGCGGAGGTAGATTCCCAAGCAGGGAACAGCCGTGCGGGCTCTACCCGCGCCTCTGCCGCGTTGGTCTCCCTCCCAGGAAAGCAGGTGGAGACCTCCAGGCTTTTCTAGAAAAGGTATCAGTTCGGACGCAAGCCCAGGCGCGTTGTCGGAGCCTCTGCTGGCCCTCGCCACGGCCTGCCCAATTGTCTCTCCCAGCTGAGCTAGTTTTAGCCCAGAGTACAACTGCTCCCGCTCTCCCTCCACCCGGCTTGACCTGGCACCACGCATCGCTCGCACGTCCACCACCACCTCCCAGACTTCAGCCTTCGCTGGCGCGTCAGGGCCGGGGAAAGTCCATCCGCGTGCTCTAGTTCTGTGGGAAGCAAGGGCAGCGGGGAGGGCGAGTCGGAGAGTTAATGTTCAGCGTGGAGGGCCCGGCTGTCTTGGGATATTTCTCGGCAACCTTGGCCCGACTTCTCCAAGTCACACGTGCCTCTCTTACCCAAGGTGGGGAAGGTTTGCAGTAAGCAAACTGGCTTGCGCCGTTGCTCGTCGCCTTTGGGAGGGAGCCTACCCGGCTGCTGGAGTACCGAGGACGGTTTTCCCGGGCAGGGGGCGGGGGCAGAGGGCTTTTAAGGTCGTAGCCCGTCCGAACCCCGGAGTTTGCACCCAGCAATCGGCTTGCTAATAAAGATCTTCCAGTGGCCTTACACACACACACACACACACACACAGAGACACGTTTCAATTATTTGTCTTTCCCCAATAAAAGAGAGTTGCATTTGTTGGAGTTCGTTTTCTTCCTTGAAATTTGTTGGAGTTTGTTTTTCTTTTCTTTTCTTTTTCTAAATTTTATTTTAAAGAGTGGCCTTGATTTGTACAGTCATCACTTTAGTTTCCAGTTTTATTTTGTTAGTGTAGACCAGACCGCAGCCTTGTGAGAAGGGTCTATGGCTCAGAGCTAGGTAACCCGGCTTTTAGAGAAACAAATGAAAGGGACATGGCTGGAGCTTCCGCTCCGGGAGCTAATGTGACGGTCAATAGTCTATGTCTATAGTCAATTAGATGTTTGGCACAGTTATTTAGATAATAAAATGAAAATTATCTGTTGACATTGACTTTCACAGAAAACCGCTTTCCCGGGTCCCGATTTGTCAGGCAATTTTTTCAGTCCCACCTGGCCAATAGATCCTGACTTGGCAGATCCCACAAAACCAGAGAATGTAATTACTAGAATAAGAGTGGTTGTGGGCAGCCTTGTCTCCTCTTTGAAGATTTCAAAGACTTGCCCAAATCCAAATCCGAAAAAAACAAAAATGCCTACAATGTCATCTGCCTTGGGCAAGAGTTTCTGCCACTTAAAAATAAATGTTTACCGATAACATGAGAATGTCTTCAAAATTGAGCAATCTACCCTGGTCCTCCGTGGGCTCGATCCGAAGCCTGGGTCTCAAAACCTGGCGCCCAAGGGCCGAGTTGTAGTTGGGGCGGTGTGTGAGCCCGCGGGCGGGCCGCCGCGGCCGAGGGGCTGGCGGGTTGGAGGCTGGTGGAGGGTTAGGGGTTCGGAGGAGAGGGCGGGGCCGCTCCTAAGTGCTGTGGCCTCCAGGGGTTCAGCTTGTCCGGAGGCGGCATCCTGGGCCGCACCCTCGGCTTCGAATCCAGCCCCTGACGCCCTCCGCACCGCGGTTCCCGCCTCCGGGCGCCGAGGGCCGGGGGCGCCTCGAGAAAAATCCAGCTCCAGCTCTGAGCGTCTCCAGCCAGGCGAGGCGAGGCGGATAAATCCTTCGCAAAACCCTCTTGGAAATTGCCGCCGCTTCCTGAGCCATCAGCCCCAGCGGGTACGTTATCGAGTTGCACAAACAGTTGAATTTTTCTCTCAAGAACCGAGTCTGGACGCGGAGATGGAGCCAAGTGTGGCTGCATTTTCAGACCCGGAAATCCGTTGGGTACTGAAGCACTTTTCGAACCCTGAAGCGCTGTGGCTTCGCGGTCCATCGTCGCCGCTGCAGACGGACGCGCTCCCCGGCGGCTCCACGCCCTCCAGTCCCGGCCAGGCCGCGGGGCTGGGAGCCGAGCCGTCTCGGGCCCTCCGGCGCCGCGTTTTCTAGAGAACCGGGTCTCAGCGATGCTCATTTCAGCCCCGTTTTAATGCAACAAACGAAACCCCACACGAACGAAAAGGAACATGTCTGCGCTCTCTGCGCAGCGGTCGGGCGGCGCGGTCCCGGCGCGCAGGGAAGCGGCGTCTCCGCTAACCGAGGTGGTGGAAGGGGAAAAGCGAATGCGGAATCGTCCTGGACCCCGAAGGTCGGGGCCGCTCGCGAGGCCCGAAGGGGAGGAGCCGGCGAAGACCAGGAGTGGGCCGCATTTCGGTACTGTTTCCCCGAGATCAGGAACTTTCTGGGTCTAGGAGCAACGCCGGGAGGGGGGTGTAGAGACCCAGCGCCCCGGGACCCGCAACGACAATGGGCCGGAGCTTCTAAGGTCGCCTTTGTTCTGGCAGGAGGACGGGGAATGAGGTTATCTCCGCCGCCTGTCCTGCCTCTCCTTCTCCTAGCCCTAGGGCCCTCCGCCCAGCCGTCCGGCCCCGAGCCCCCGGCCGGCGGCGGCCTCTCCAGCGAACACTGCAGCTCGAAGACTGCAGTTCGGACCCGGGTGCTTCGGATCCCCAGCTCCTACCTCCAGCCGCCTCATTCCTGGGAGTTCCTAGTGCTAGTTCCCAGCCATTGCCTTGAAGGGGCCCTAAAAGAGTGACTGTAGAAAAATCGGAGGGGTAGGGAGGCCGGGGGTGGGGGGAGAGGGGTGTTCATTTCCCTAGCTCCAGGGAAGGCCATACCAGTCCCTTTCCACTTTGCTAACTGTCCTAGTCCGAAACCGACAGCCCGTTCTCACAGCCCGGAATTACTGCGTCCAAACAGGCCGCACTCCAGCCCCAAGTTTGTTCTGCCCTTGTAGTCCAGGCAAGGGAAACTGAACCCTTGGTAGGGGTGGTTCAGGCCTCCTTCCCACAGGTCGGGAGGGGGGTGGGTACGGGTACTTGGGCACCTAAGGCATCACCCTTGTCTTTGCGGAAACATGTAGCAATTGATCTGTTTCTCAGGATGTTTGGTGTTGTACTGAATATCCGCTTTCTAACAGGGAAATGTCCTTATTCTTTTGGAATTAAATAACCTGTCATCACTTAGCATCTTGACTCATCCTGCAGTCTCCTGCTTCTCTGTGATGGGGTTAGAAGGACCCCTGTGTTTTTGCACTTGCATGTAAATATACCCTTTAGGAGACATGCTATCTACCACAACTGGACATGACAATGACCTGGGCCCATTTTCTCAGTAAGGTAGACCCAAAGCAACCTAGCATCCCCCTAAAATAACCAGACTTGAGGCAAAGGGGCATATATGTTGGGACAGAAGCTTGTTGCCTTCATCCTCTCATCTGGGTTTATAAAGACAAACACAGAGCACTCCACCACTCAGGTGACTGACATATACCACAGAATCGCAAAATAGTCACTAAGTGACAGACACTGGGGCAGACTGCAAACCTGCTTCCTCAGCCCCACACTGCCCTTCACACCTCTGCATCCTATTCACACACACTTACTGGGCTTTCCACACTGCAGCCTCACTTCTGACCAACCTGGGCCAGCCCAGCAGCTAAGGCCAAACCCTGCCAATGCTGGGATGAGCTAGGCTTTCTCTCTCCCTCTCTGGTTCATTTGTCCAGAGGAAACCACTACTGGGACTTCACCCAGGTTCATAACAATGTTGTTTTTTGAGGCAAGTTATTAACATCAACAAGAAGCATTTGCTTTCCACCCACCTTTCCCTGGCCTACCTCACTTGGCCCCACCCCCGAGACTTTAATCTTCCTTATTCCCCACCTGGAGCAGGCTCCATATTTTTCTGCTCTTTACTCATCTCTGCCAGACCACCTTCCCTGACCATCTGTCTATTCCACTATCCCAAGTGAAACTTCTCTTCCTTCAGTCAGATCCGAGGGCCCTAGATCTGCCCCCACTTGAATAACCAAATGGGGTGTCCCTCACCCATCTCCCTGTGATGTGGTCCCACCATTTTTGTGGCTGCACAGATCCAACCAGTTGAAATTGATAAGATGACTGGAGGTTATTGACTGACCCCTCCCAGGCACTACCCCACAATCCTAGCAACTCTTTTCCACAGAAAACTCCAGCAAAAACTTGGCCTGTTTAGGTATCCACAGCCCAGAGACTTGGAGTAAGTAAGGTCAGGCAAGTTCCACCAATAAGTTACCTGGAGAGTTTTAGCTACAGCATCTCAATTATGTGCTTTTGCTTCACTTACATAGATGTTTCCAGAGATGGGAGATGTTAACTGAATTATCCAGGTGATTGTCTTAGAGCAAAACAACAGGTCAAATCAAGTCCAACCAGTAGCCATCTCTGAAGAAATTAATTGGATCAGTCAGTCCCAAGAGCTAATTCTGTCAAAATATTCCATCTAGAGTTCTGTGTTGTTGGTGCGTCAGGAGGCTGTTATGTGCCCTTGCATGAGAATCCATGGGTGATTTTGTCAGGGCCTGTTTTGAGTCTTGTTAGCATGTGCAACCAAGCCAGAGATTGTGTGAGGGCCTAGTTGCGGGGCGCGGCCGGCGGGGGGGGGGGTTCATTGAGACAGGGGCTGTGGGTAGAGGCTTGTTTTGGCATTGATAGTTTCTGACCCCATCTCCCCTACCCCAGCTTCATCCAGTCCAGTGTTATCCCTTCCTCCTGCATGTGGGAGCTGAGTCCCTATGCTGGCCAACATTTGCTAAGGGACAGTCACACTCTAAAAATCCTATACAGTAGATGGGAAAAAAAGACAGTAGGGAGGCTGGAACATATATTTACACACGCCCATGCAGAAACCAATATATCTATATCTATATATATTAGAGAGAAAGATGACATCTAGATATTTATACACATGTTTCTTTAGCAAGGGACTATTCAGGGATGAAGCAGGGATGAAGCTTTTCCCACCAGACAGTACTTGGAGTCTCCAGTGTGTGTGTTGGGGTAGGGGTTTGGGGGCTTACTCTAGAGGCTGGGTCTCTGGACAGCCAAGGCCTGGAGGAGAGAGAGGTGGAGAAAGGGGAAGAAGAAGCCTGACTTTCCACTTGCAGGTGCTGCCTGGACCACTGACCTAGCCACTGGCCTATTTATACCCTCTGCAAGACAGAGCTAGAGCCTGCTGGCAGGAGTTTTTAATGAGCTAGTAGCCTGAGCATTCAGCCGCAAGACTAGTGCAAGCAGGTGTGAAGGGATTGCTCCTTGGGTACCTTCTAGTTCTTGAATCTGTGTTTGGCAAGGGTGTGCCTGGCACACCGCTGCTCCCCTTATCACCTTCCTGACCCCCGGCCCTGCCTCTACCCTGGGTCCTCTTGGAGGGAGATGTTTTGCGACCAGTTAACTAAAAGCAAATCGTTGGGACTGGCAGCCAGGGCAGCGCCTCTGGGAAAGGACGGAGAAAGAGAGCCAAGGGACTTTTCTTCGCCACCCCTTGGCCTCTTCCGCTGCCCCAGGCATTGTGGATTTGGGCTAGTCGGCGCCTTGTCCGGCCTGGACCCATCTCTTGGCCTAACAGAGGGATCTGGAGTGCTGTTATTCCCCGCGTACCCCCGCGGAGTGGCTCTCTAGTGTGGGGAGGTGTCGAGGAGGGGAGTGGACTTAGGGAGGGGGCGGCCAAAGGGCAAAGGGAGAAATGGCGTGTGTGTGCGTGTCAAGGAATAGAGAGGGCAGGGCGCATGGGAGCAGGGCGGGAGGCCGGGCTCTGCCGGGCCCCGGCTCACGGCGCCCCTTCTCTCTGTCTGTACCTGCGTGTGTTGCCGTCGGCGGCGGGGCCGCAGCCAGCGACGTGCCCCAGGACGGGCTGCTTCTGCACGGCCCCTTCGCACGCAAGCCCAAGCGGATCCGTACGGCCTTCTCGCCCTCGCAGCTGCTGCGGCTGGAGCGCGCCTTCGAGAAGAACCACTACGTGGTGGGCGCCGAGCGGAAGCAGCTGGCCGGCAGTCTCAGCCTTTCCGAGACGCAGGTAATCACCCCCGGTCGCGGCCTGCCCAGCGCCCGGAGCCCAGGGCGAGGTGAGGGTGCGCGGGTGCAGGAGAGGCCCTGAGCCCGCCCCAGCCCAGCACCACTGGGTTCCAAAAAGCCCCCCTTCCTCGCGGCGCTGCAGTCAAGCCTGTCTAATTTAGAGCCCCTTCCTGGAGACTGCGTGCAGCCTGCTGAGGCCGCAGGACTTTTGTCAAGCGCTAAGGACCTAGCAGGAGGCAGAGTAAATGCAAACTGCATCCCAGAGCCCGGCTCCCAAAGCTCTTCACAGAGGGACCAGGTTCTCTGGAGGAAGCGGGTCGCCTGGGGAGAGGGCAGCGCAGGCAGCACCAAGGCCACTGGAGCTGGCCCCAGCCCTGGCATTACTGCAGCCCTTTTCCCGCCACTGTGCCGGGGCGCTCATAGTCCTGCGGGGAGCCAGTCCGCACTGGCTTTGCTGCTGTTCCGGGGCCTTGGCTGCCCACCAGCCAAGGGAGGGTCTGGGGAGAAAGCCCAGGTGTCCTCAGACTACCAACAGAGGGGCTTAGCCAGGGAGGGGCCAGCCCCTGCTTGGGGCCCGAGGGTTCCTCTGATCCGGCCCAGGCCGTCTGGTAGGGCTGTGGAAGCCACGGTGTGCGTGCGCAGAGCATCTGAGGGGCCTGGGCATGGTGGGAAATAGACCCCGGGTACTCAGGGGCTGCTCTGAATCACTGGAAAGGCTGTCGCATGGGAGAAGGAATAAACCCCAACGGCGTCTGGGCTTGAACTGAGTGAAATTAACAATTACCGTGTAGTGTTTTTGTAAATGATCATTAATTTAAGGGAAAAAATTAAAGAATTAGATGAAAGTTATAGGGAGGTGGATTTGGGTTCATTGTAAGTAGACTTTGCCATAAATAAATGCTGCCTGGGGATCACTGCATAAGCTCCTGGTCCACCCGGGTCCGACGTGTTGGAGTGGGGCTCAGCGACCCTCAGCCTAGCTGCTGCCCTGGAGCTGGATTTCAGTCTCTGGATGGGCCTTGCGTGCCTGCCGGCTCCCAGAGTTGCGAGAGGCCAGCTCCACGGTCCCCCAGCTACCTCCCGGCTGACTTTTCACCTTCCGCTCCCCTTTTCCTCGTGGTCTCGCCCCTACTACACCATCGTCCCCTCCCAAGTCCCGGGCAGTGAGAAGATGCCCGGCATGGGGGGCAGCCGGAGCCTCCCTTTAGCAGCCAGAGTAGGAAGGGGGCTTAGTGAGGGAGCCTAGACCCAAACTTCATCCCCAGCTTTCTTCGGCGGACCTCACCCTCTCCTCCTTTGGTGGCATTATTGGCATCTATTGTCATATCTGTCTGATGCCCCACTTAACAATCTACAAATCGCTCATGGGTCAGAGGCAGGACCCGTGCGTTTTCAGACATGCTTGCTGGGCTGTTCTAACTGCAGGGGAAAAGCTTACAAAACAAGAGTTAATTTAAAAACGTTTCAAAGAAAGATATGTTTTTAAAATATAAGTTAATAAAATAACACTCCCTTTTCCCTTCTGGCAGTGTTTTAAAATTATTGTTTGAAACAAGGTGTTAGTTTAAGAATGGTGTTTATAATTAACCTCATTTAAAAAGTAATATTTATTAAATTTTAATTGCAGAAGTGTAAGAAAACAAAAATGGTTTTTAATCCTACCACCCACAGATTAACACTTGTTGAAATAATGTCATTGTTTTTAAACTTTCAATTTTTTAGCTCAGTGAGAGCATTTTTAATTAACTCTCTTTCAAACTGAACCTAGATGCCTGTCAATATTTGCTCCTAACAATGCCAGTTAGTAGACGGACTGATTGTTTCTTTCATTTTTATTATGAGACATTTCAAACATATATTTAAAACAAAACCAGATAGAATAACATAAATGTATCCAGCTTCATTAACTATCAAAACTTAGGGTTAATCTTCTTCCCGTCTGTAAATGAGCTGCTTTTTGCATATGGTACAACAAAAAGAATGAGGGGAGGTTTTAGCCTGAGGAATCTCCCGTGGCAGCCTGTCCTTCCAGGTGAAGACCCTGAGATGGAGAGATGGATTGGGCAGAGCTTCCCAGGTGGGCAAACACGATTTTAAATACCTGCCTCCCTGCTAACTTAACTGTGTAACCCTGGGCAAGTCACTTAACCTCTCTGAGCTCTGGTTTCCTCATCGAGAAAATAGGTTGTTTAATGACTAAAGTACCTCATATGAGCTCAAATAATATTAATCCCCGTCCCTAGTCCCTTCCCTTTAAGGTAGTATGTTGGATTAGAAGCATAAGAAGATCCAAACCTGGGTGTCCTCTTAGTCCAGTGTTTTTCCTGCCTTATGCAGTTTCCATCATCAACATTGCCTTTCTGTTGCCCTCATAACTTATCATTTGGAGCCAGGCTATATAATTAACTACTTCTCTATCCACCTCTTGGTACTTACCAGGCAAGCTTACCTGTCATTTCCAGCTATGAGCTATTTGTCAGGCATCAGTCACCCCCATCAACCCCCCTGCCATGCATTTCTACTGTTAATATCTGTATCTGTCTCTCAGAGCTCTCTAATTTGTCCCTCCCCGTGGCTGTTTTACATCTAGCCATCTACTTCTGTCTGCTCTCATTAAACTGCCTCCCCAAAACTGGCTAATTTATATTTCCGATTTTTCTATTAATTATATGTTCTTCCTAACAATAAGAACTAATTACCCATTTGTTCATTATCTTTGTCATCTATCTTACCTTCCGTGTGTCCACCATTCATCTCAAACTTCATCTCCATCGAGCTATTTAGCAACTGACAAACAGTATATCCATATGTCTGGTAATGGTTATCTATTATCTTATTAGCTCTGGCTTTGTCTTCTCTCTGGGTCTGGGCCTCGGTTTCTGTAATTGTGAGATTGAATGACACAAATTCCAAGGTTTTTTCTAGCCCTGAGTTTCTGTGGCTCCTCTACATTCTACTTCTCTGTGTTTCTGTACACTCCCTCCTCCACATTCTCAGAGCTCACCACACAACCCCTGCCTATCATGATTTGCATCAAACTTTGTTGTTATTACTTAATTATCTGCCATGTCCAAACATCAATTTGTAGACCAGCAGCATGCATCTCTCAGGGAGATCTTAAAATACAGATTCCTGGGCCTCACCCAGGAGATTCTCTTAGGAAGTCCAGGATAGGGTACAGGAAAAAGTTTAAAAACGGTTCTTTGGGTGATCGTGATGAGTAACAGGCCTGAGCATCTTAGCTCTGGGAGGCAGAGGCCAAGCCTGTCTATTTCTCACAGGACCCAGCTCAGTGCCCGGGATGGAGTAGATGCTCAATAAACATGTATTGAATTAATGAGCACATTTCTCTTTGCCCATACAAATACACACTGACTTTATCAATCATTCCCCTTGCTCTCTGCTGTCACTGCTGCCTCCCTGTCCCTCTCCTTCTATCTTTCCCTTGTACTTTCACAGCTGATTGTTGATTTAAATTACGCATATACCAGTTTGTGGATAAAACTTCTTGGAGGGTTACTCAGATCAGTATGTGTGTGAGCTCTTAATCCAGAGCTCAGAGGTCCGTGCACTCCCAAAACTTCAGCCGGGTGCTGGGAGGTGGGCAACCTGGGTGACTATGTATGTTTAATGGGAGTGGGGTATTCGTGCTGGGATGGCCAGTGCCTCAATCTAGGAGGTGAGGGAAGAGCCCTGGGCAAGGGCTAGTTCTCCCTTCAGGTTCTAATGACTTGTTCCTCACTGCTTCAGTGCCACCCTGGAGTATGACCAAGAAGGTACCAGTCTAAGCTTCAGTCCTGGTGGCTGGTTGGGCAGACCTGGGCCTGGGTCATTGCAGAGGCTCAAGTTTAATGAGTGTGTGTAATGGGTGTGTGCACCATGTGCCTGCCCACCATGTGGGGCACCAGCGGGCTTCATGTGATTGATGCCCAAAGGTCAGATGATAGCATAGGTACACACTGGATGCCATTAGGCAGTCACATGACATGGAGTGCAGCTTGCATGCTTCAGTGTGTGTTCGTGTGTGTCGGGGGTAGGGGTAAGTTAGTTTTAGGGGAAGTGAGAGAAAGCACCTGGTTGCTCCAGGTTGATCAACTGGTCAGTATTCCAGCTACTCCTTCTGCTCTGAAGAGATCAGCAGGTGATTCTTGACCTTGTCTGGGTTAGAGTTTAGCTGAGCGGTGAGGGCAAAGGGTACAGAAACGTGGTCTGTGGCTCTGAAGATTGCTCACTGAGTGATGAAGCCTAAGTGCCAAGCTTGCACACTTGTGAAGCATGCACAGGATGAATGACTAGGGTCCCCTTGATGTCACAGCTGTGGGCTGAGGGGTATCAGGATAGAAATGCTTGAGAAGATGGCTCTGGGAGGCCTCAGACCTGGAAGGCTTGGGGGAATGCTTAGGATCCTACGTTGGAGGGAAAGAAGGGGAGGGTTTGAGGCAGGCAGATGAAGATAGAGCAGGAGCTGTCCAGACCAGCCACCATCTTGGAGTCCAAGGCAGGGAGATCTTGGGAGGCAGGAGTTACGGTCACCTGCCTATGGCTTTTTCCCCTCAGAGGCATGGAAAGGAGGATTTGGAGGGTCCTTTCCTGCTCTGGAATGTTCTGCCCTTAGAGGGATGGATAAGAGGGGGATATCCAAGTGACCTGAATTTTAGGAAGAAATCAAGAGACATTTGTTCCTAGCTCACGGTGTGTCCATATCTCTTGTCTAAGTCTTGGCTTTTCTTCAAGAACTTCTGCATCTCATGTTCTAGGAGTCCTGTGTGGGAGGATGAGGGGGAGATAAAGGAGATTAGAGTGGTTCTGTGAGGAGCTGGGACTGGGGACATGTCCTGAGGTAAATCTTATGATGTCTCCCTGAGAGAGAGAGAGGAAGGGTCCAGGCTGGGCTGGAAGAGGAGGAGACAGGGAGGCTTAGGGATATTATGGTTATGGTTGGTGGGGAGCTGGAGGTGACCTCAGCTTACTGGGGTGAAGGTTGAACTTAGCATGGCATTGGGCTTGACCTCGAGAGTGGGAACAGCCCACATGATCAAATGATAGGAAATGGGTCCCCAGGGAAGAGAGTAGGCTGAGGGGCGACTTGATTGATGTCTCCAGGCTCCTGTCCATTCTGGGATATTTGAAATCTTTGACGACAGGACACTTATTCACCTGAAAGTGTGCAGGGGCCTGGAGCCACAGACCTTTCCATTTGCAGGAGTGGTGAAAAAGAAGGGATCCAGACCTCGTTCATTCAAAATAGATTATTCCAAAGTAAAGTCTGATTAGTTCTGAAATATTGGCTGGAGCTGTATATTTGCTTGTTTGTTAGTTCATTTTTCCCTTTGTTCTTGCATGCATGTCTTCATTCATTAATGCATACATTGATCAATCCTCTAGCAAATTGATTCATTCATCCATAGCAGTTTCACCTTCTTCATTCTGCCTGACTCAAGCCAACCCTTCTTCCGCCCAGCAGCAGGTCTCCCTCCTCCAACTTCCCCTAAAAGTGGCCAATCCAATTTACCATGTGGAATATTAAAAACTGGCCCTCTTGCAAAAGTGTCCACAAAACTAAGAAAAAGATCCCGTCTCTCTATCACTGAGCACTTCTCAAACCCTTTGCTGATTAGAATTCTGCCCCTCTTCTATTCATTTTCTCCTGTTTTCCAGGTCTGGCCCAGGTACCTCTTGCCTAGAGCATAGGCCTGTCCAGCCAGATGACTATACATGGAACATGTCCTCTGGGCAGGGCACTGGGACTAACATACCACTTTGGTTCTCCAGTCTCATAGTGTGGTGAGGAGACAGATGTAAATAAGTAAATTAGTGCACAGTGGGGGTCACTGTTACCGAGACTGGGAAGAGGTACTAAGGAACTACAGGCAGGTGATGGGGCAGGCCCATCAAGGAACATCAGGTCAGTGTCTTGAAGGCTAAGGAGAGTATTCCAGGTTAGGTAACTCAGGAGAACAGAGACTTTTGGAAGGATCTGGCCTCTGAGAAACTGAGACGTTCAGTGAAGTGAGGACTTGGGAGACCACAAGGGACCTCTTGCTACAGTAGAGAGGTCAGAGTGGGCAAGGGGTCCTCCAGCCAACATTCCAACTGTACCTTGGGGCTTAGAGAGGGGTGAGTAGTGTGTTTGTGTTGGGGATGGGGAGGCATGTGCAGGACAGATCCAGCCTCCAAGCCACACCGTATGATCCAGCTCCTTTCCAGGGCCTGTGTTCTCTAGGGAAAGGGGGTCTGGAGGATCTAGAGTTGCCTGTAGGTTGGAGAGGTCATGAAATGTCACTCTCATCTCCTAATACCCTCAGAGCCCAGTTCCTTTTCTTTTACCCAGTAAAAAATAACTACCATTATCAATAATCTATTAAGGAAAATTCAGAAAAGTAGAAAGAAGAAAGAAACATCACCCACACTTTGGGTACATTTCCTTCTAGTCTTTTTTCCCCATGTGTAGATTTTGTTTTTCTATGGTTATGATCACACTGTGCCAGCCCTGTGCATCCTGGCGTTTCCACTAATGCTATGAAGTCATAAGCACCACCCTGTTATTGCAGTCTTTGTAAACAGCATCTGGACACTCAGCCCAAGGCTGTTCTCCGGAAGATGGCCAGGCTGCACAGGGAGAGGGTTTATGTCCCTGCTTCTAGAGAGATGCCTACTTGACCCCAGTATTTTTCATGGAGAAAATACTCAGAATCACCTTTCACTTGGGTGCCCTAGGAAGCTGCCTCTGGCCTATCCTGTGCCTGAAGTCGCCATCCAAAGCTTTCCTTCTTTGAGCCAGTGTTGCTAGACAAGGGCAGCATGCTGGGCCCATCCCACTACAGGCCAATGTGACCGTCAGTCTCCTTCCTGAAGGACACTTGGAAATGCGTGTGGAAGGAGAAAGGTACAGAAAAGGGCCCTTGGTCCCTGGTACTGCCTGCATCACCTGATGGTCACCTTCGGCCAGCCCACTTGGGCTTCTCAGGAATGACGCCCCGGCCCTGCATCCGGCCCTGAGTCACGCGCAGGAGGCAGGGTGAGCTCACCCACCCACTGGCTGGCACAGTCACAGCAGGCTCCAGGGTGGGGGGCAGGGGCGAGGCTGCTGCCAAATGGTTGTGCTGAGAACCACCCAGGGTCCAGGTGGCCCTGCGCCCAAAGATAGGTGGGCTTGGAGTCCAGCAGCCTGTGCCCAGAGCCTCCGCCATCCTCCACGGCCGGCCTAGGTGAGATGTCCAGGCTATGGGTTTGGAAATGAGGGGAGAATCCCCTTGCCCTCACTCCATCCATCGAGGCTGGGCACCAACCCTTCCTAGGCCAGCTTTCCAGACCCTGGCTGGCTGCTCTGCAAGCACTCAGTGCCAGCTACCCCCATCCCCGTGTCAGTGCTCTAAAATCAGTGCTCTCAAACCAGGGCAGATAGCACAGTGGAAGTCCCGGCAAGAAGAGACTGTGAGGGGAGGTCCTGGGGTAGGTGGGACAGAGAGGACTGCCTGGGAAGGGTGTAGGGGCAGCACCTCCTGGGCATGAAACCATCTGCAGGGCACAGAGGCCAGGTCTGCCTCTGGATGCACTGCTTGGCCTTGTGGCTAAGGCCTGTGCTTTACCCAGTTCTCTGGGAGCAGGGGCTGGACCTAGCAGTCTTTCTGAGGCCTGCCCTCAGCCCTGCCCAGGGTTCAAGGATCTCCCCTCAGCATCATTGCTGCTGCCAAAACTAAGAGGCTACCCACCATTCCTCACCCGCAACTCTGCCACGCAGCACCGTCTGCACAGCTGCAGTTGGCCACACCTACTTGCTTTTGAATGTGCTGTCATTTCCTGGAAACCATCCGGGCCTTGTAGCCTGCCCTCTGCACCTCCTCCCCCAGGGGCCCTCTGGAGCAAGAATCCAGGAGGTGCCCTGGCACTGCAAGAGTCCCCAGAACATTTCTTCTATGCATGAAGGACTGAAGCCCCGAGGGGGAAGGGACTTAGCTGAGAATCAGTACCTAGGATCCTCCTGCCAACACTGAAGACGGTGTGGGTCTGGCCCGACTCTGCAAAGCCAAGTAAAGAACCACGGAGTCAGGGAGAGTTGACAGATGAAGGCTTTCTCCACAGCCCACAAGCACTAAGGCCAGTCCAGGAGCCAGGACAAGCCTCCCAGATTATGCATGAGAGGACATTAAGGGCTGTGTCCTGGACACTGAACAGATACTGGAGGAGGAGGGAAAAGAGGCTTCCTGGAGGACGTGGCTTAGAACCATAGACCTGTCCTCTGCCTCATGCCTCCTCCAACATGGAGGATGGTTGTCCAGTTTCTGTTCCAACCCCACCCCGTACCTTGCCAGGGCTCTCACTGCCAGACACAGAAGAGGGGGCTCCCTGGGTTCAAAGTGGAGCTCGCTTCTGTCCCCTGGGCTTCTCCTGACTGTTCCTTGTGTGACCTGTTCCCGCATCTGGATGGGCTGCAGGAGCCAGTGCTGTGGGGACAGAAGGCCTGGAGCTGCCCGTGAAGGGCAGCACACTGTCCTCAGACCTGCCTCCTCCCTGTCCTTGTCTGTCCAAGGAGAATGAGGCCTCACTACCCTGAGGAGCTGGCACCTGAGGGACAAGGCCCCCCACCTGCCCAGCTCCAGCCTCTACAGCTCCACTTCTGAGGAGGGGTGGGAGAGAGCTACATGAGGTTGCTAAGAAAGCCTCCCCTGAAGAAGGAGACCACACAGTGTGTGAGGCTGGAGTCTCTAGCAGCGGGTTCTGTGCCCCCGGGGTGGTCTGGCTGTCCAGGCACTGCTCTTGGTATAAACGCCACCTCCTGGTTATGAAGCCATGCCCACTCTGCCTCCGTGTATGGAAAAGAGCATGGGGCTGGCCCATGGGGTACTGTCCACTTTAGGCCCTGTGGGAGCTCATGGGAACCCACGCAGTGGGTCATAGGCTCCCTCATTTACTACTCACATCCACTCTGTGAAGAAGCGATTATGATCTCTCCTCTAGAAACTCGTGGAGTCCCAGGTCTGCCAGCTTCCAGAGCCTGCGCTCCTCCACCTTGGCTTGGCTTTGCTGGGGCTAGAGGAGCTGGGATGCGCAGCAGCTCTGTGACCCTTTATTTGAGAGGAACAGGAAAAACATCCTCCTCTCTGGCCCACTGTGTCCTCTTCCTGCCCCGCCATCCCCTTCTGTGAATGTTAGACCCATGGGGGCAGCTGGCCAGAGGGGACCCCGACCTGGGGGCCCTAACCCTATGTAGCCTTGGTCTTCCCATCAGGCTCTCAGCTCGGCCTGAGTGTTGAGGCCCCAGTGGCTGCTCTGGGGGCCTCCTGAGTTTCTCATCCGTGCCCCTCCCTCCCTGGCCCAGGTGAAGGTGTGGTTCCAGAACCGGAGGACAAAGTACAAACGGCAGAAGCTGGAGGAGGAAGGGCCTGAGTCCGAGCAGAAGAAGAAGGGCTCCCATCACATCAACCGGTGGCGCATCGCCACGAAGCAGGCCAATGGGGAGGACATCGATGTCACCTCCAATGACTAGGGTGGGCCACCACAAACCCACGAGGGCAGAGTGCTGCTTGCTGCTGGCCAGGCCCCTGCGTGGGCCCAAGCTGGACTCTGGCCACTCCCTGGCCAGGCTTCGGGGAGGCCTGGAGTCATGGCCCCACAGGGCTTGAAGTCCGGGGCTGCCATTGACAGAGGGACAAGCAATGGGCTGGCTGAGGCCTGGGACCACTTGGCCTTCTCCTCGGAGAGCCTGCCTGCCTGGGCGGGCCCGCCCGCCACCGCAGCCTCCCAGCTGCTCTCCGTGTCTCCAATCTCCCTTTTGTTTTGATGCGTTTCTGTTTTAATTTATTTTCCAGGCACCACTGTAGTTTAGTGATCCCCAGTGTCTCCCTTCCCTATGGGAATAATAAAAGTCTCTCTCTTAATGACACGGGCATCCAGCTCCAGCCCCAGAGCCTGGGGTGGTAGATTCCGGCTCTGAGGGCCAGTGGGGGCTGGTAGAGCAAATGCGTTCAGGGCCTGGGAGCCCGGGTGGGGTACTGGTGGAGGGGGGCAAGGGTAATTCATTAACTCTTCTCTTTTGTTGGGAGACCCTGGTCTCTACCTCCAGCTCCACAGCAAGAAAAACAGGCTAGACATAGGGAAGGGCCACCCTGTATCTTGAGGGAGGACGGGCCCAGGTCTTTCTTAACATATTGAGGGGTGGGAATCAGGCCCAGGTAATTCAGTGGGAGACAGTGCTTCCCTCTGCCTAGAGACTCTGGTGGCTTCTCCAGTTGAGGAGAAACCAGAGGAAGGGAGGATTGGGGTCTGGGGGAGGGAACACCACTCACAAAGGCTGACGGTTCCAGACCAAAGTCGTGGGCCCACCAGGATGCTCACCTGTCCTGGGGGAACCCCTGGGCAGGTTAAGACTACAGAGATAGGACTTAAGGCTGAGCCTGCATCCAGTCCCCAGTGACTCACGGCCTCCTCAGCCCAAGAAAGAGCAACGCGCTGGGACCCGCTGAGCTCTTATGTTCACCTGCCCTTTTGTTTGTCCCACTTGTCAGGATGAAGGTTTCCTGACAAGCATATCTGCATTCCTAAGTCTTTCCCTTATGACATCTAGACCCCTCTTTCTTCTTCACCTCCCATGTGCTCATGAAACCTCTGCTCATTGGCCTCCATGCCACCATTCTGCTGGTGCTGACAGTCACCAACTACAGTCGCTGGCCACTCCCTTGTGGCCAAACTCAACCACTTCCTGTCTGGGTTCACCTGCTCCCCGATCTGCTGGCCATGCCCTCCTGGATTCTCCCACCCTGCTCTGCCTTCATTTCCGTAGCTCTGACTCCTCCTCCAGCCTGAGCTCATTCAGTGTCATCCATGCCTTGTCACCTCTGGCCACCGCCAGGTCAGTCCTTGCTCTCCCTGCCTCCTCATTGTGCCCTCTGCCTCGGGGGCTCACATCCACTTCCAGGACTTCTCTTTGGCTCCCTGGTCTGTGTCTTTAGCTGACCTCTGCTGAGCTGCAGACCCATCAAGCCAGCTGCCTGGTCCACCCCCTGCCCCTCAGCACCTCAAAGCCAATACATCCACAGCAGGACCCACCTCCCATCTGTGCTTCTCCAGGATCACCCACCTCGGCAAAAAGCATTAGCCATGTACACAGTTTCCCAAGCTACAGGAAACCTGGGAATCTTCCTCAAGCTTCCTCTCCTCTTCCCCAGCCCCATCCATTCCCATCTAGTGGGTTGAGTCTAGGCTGGCTTCCCAACCACACCTCCCTAGTGCAGCCCCCCCGCTGCCCCCCTGCCCAGCTTGTGCCACTGGCCTGGCCTGGGCCCTGCTCCTCTAGGGAGGTTTCTGTGAATGTCAAGGATGAGGCCCATTTCAAAGGAGGCCCTCCATGCTGCAGCTAGATTTCTCTTCCTTGCACCCAAACAGGGCAGAGTCACCCCCTTCTGAGCCCCTCTGCCCCATCTTCTTGCCTTGCTCCTGGTACCCTTTGCTTCAGCATCCCCATCCCTGTCCCTGAGGGAGCCACAGGTTTTCCCTGTGCTGTGCCTTCGCTCATGCTGTTCTTCCCACCTGGAATGTCGGGTGCTTGATCAATGTTGAACTCACTGGAAAGATGTCAGAGGCCCAGCCTTGCTGCCTGGGCCACATGCAGGGATCCAAGCACATAAGGTCGTTCTGCTGGGAGCACAGACCCAGATCCCACTCGCACTCTCAGTTGTCTCCCCCGCCGCCTCTGCCCACCTCACTTGTGTCCAGTCAATGCTAGAAACCAAAGGGCTTTGTCCCATCCCAACACCCCTCTCCCTCCATCAGTCAGGAATGCATTCTGCGAGTCTTGAAAGTCCTAATCCAGATTAACCCACGTGGCGACCCTCACTGCCAAGCAGGTGGGATCACTTCTGGGAGCACACATGCCCAGGTGTGGAAGGAAGGCGGGAGGAAGAGTCATCCTTTTGGCCCCAGTGGGGGACAGAGACGGGGTGAGCTGTTCCTCTCAAGATCCTGCCTCACTTGGTACGGGGAGGGGGTCCAGGAAGATCACAGCAGAGCACCCCCTGTCATCCGAATAAAGGGTTGGAAGGGATCCAAGGAAACCTGCCAATCTCCCGAGGCCAGGCCTGCGGGGGGCGGGGCGGGGAGTCCCTGCCGCACTCCCATCCACCCCCCATGTTGTGCCTCTCCCTGCAGACGGTAAATATTGGTGTTGTGACTTCATTAATAAAGGCTTCTGTGAGCCTGAAAAACATGGAATCAGGATGAACTATTTTCTGAGCTGCGGGCTTGCCAGGTTTGCTAATTTGGGAGTTTTTGGGCCCTCTCCAGGGAACAAACCAAAGTCTCTCTCGAAGAGACACAGATGCAGCCGAGAAGGGAAGAAGACGAGGACTGCTGCTCCCTTCCCTCCCCCAACGGCTCCTCCCACCTGGGGAGCAGGGGCCCTGCAGAGGGTGAGGACCCAGGGACAGTAGCTTGCTGGTGGCCTCCGCGTGCAGGCACTGCGTGGCCAGGCCTTCCCCGAGGGGGCCCAGGTCAGCCACTCCCCTCAGCTGGGCTGGCCTCCCGGGGCCTGCAGAACTCGTGGGCTGAGGTATCATGAACACCTGTAGGAGCTCCAAATTGTGCGCGGCTGAAGTAGAGGGAGCTCAGGGGGCCTGTTCTGAACCCTGGTGGCCTCATCCACACCCTCACCTTCAGGGACTGATCTTTGCACATCCTCTTGTCCGTGGAACTTTCCAGGACTCGTCCCCACGGCCTTCGCAGCAGTACAGCTCACGCTCCTAGCATCTCTGCACTTGGTTTGCACCAACTCCTCCTCACACGTGCTGGGACGGCTTCCCGGGAGGCATCAAGGCGCCCTGGCTAAGTGAACCAGGCTCTGTCCAGAGGGAACCGGCCAGGCCCACAGGCCTCTGCTATAGCCCCGCTCCAGGGCATCCCTGCAGGCAAGGGGAGAGGAGGGGAGGGGCGGCCAGCAGGCTGAGCGGTGCAGGCCCAGCCAGCTTTCCTGTCAGACGGGCGCTGCCAAGGCGGAGCCAGACATCGGAACAGGTTTAACCAATTACCCGAGCGCCCCATCTGCTGTCTAGGGTGTGTGTGAGGGTGAGTGCATGTGAGGGTGTTTGGAGTGTCTGGGAGGGCTGTGGGCGTGCGCGTGAGTGTGACTGTGTGGGTGCCTGTGGGCGTTCGGCTGTGCATGTGTGCGGCTGTGCACGTGTGCCGTCTGTGGCTGCGTGGCCCGGTCATGTCCCCTCATTTGTTAAAAGCTGTGGCTACGGCTTACAGTCTTCCTGTCCCCCAGATCTTGGGGTCTGCATGGACAACCCACCTAGCATCCCAGCCTCTCATTCCCTCATCTCCCCCTCACCACCCTCTCTCAGGGATGATCAGAGCCCAGAATGGGGCCTTCTCTCAAATCACTCATTCGGATGTCTTCCCGTCGAACCTGAGCTCTTCCCATTCGCTGGCTCGCTCCTTTCCCTCTGCAGCAGTGTGGCACCTTGTGGGGGCCCCCAGGCCACAGCCCACTCTGGTCTCTTTCCGACACACCCATGTCCCACTGTTCCTTGGTTGCACCTGTCTGGCGGAATTGAAACCCTGCTTGAACCTGCTTCTCCACCCGCCCGTGCAGTTGAGTCCATGAGGACAGCAGGCAGGTGTGCAGGATGGCGCCCCTCGATGTTTCAGGTCCCAGCCTCAGCTGAGGCCTCGCCCTGTTGAAAAGCTCTCTGCTGCCCTCCCTCCAAACCTCTCTTCCCCCTGACTCAGCAGAGGGCCTTACTCCCACCTTCAGAGACAGTCCTGGAAGGGGACACCTTTGCATCAGTCAGATGGTACCTTCAAATAGAGCACTTGGAGAGTTTACTACAGGAACAATTAAATTTTGGGGAACCCACAGGGATGGTGCAGTACCCCAGAGCTGGTAACAATGGGGAGCCCATATGGCCCTGAGGCCTGAAGAGGAAGGACCAGTGACAGCTACTGGAACCTGGAGGAGTTGGCTGGAGAGGGCCCCCAGTTAGGAGCTGTAACCTTCGGTACAGAGAGGCCCAGAGATGGCAGGAGGGACAAGGAGGGAAAAATCCCCCAGTGTCACTCCTCCAATCCCCCGTTTCCTGCTGGGACTCCTGGTGGTGGAAGCCAGACAGCCAGCCCTTAGCTTCCAGGGACAGAGCAGGTGGACAGACACAGAGTGGATCTGGAGGGGCGGGGGCTCCTTACCCTCAACCCCACGCTGCCTGCAGCCAGCCCATCCTCTCCACCTGCCTTCTGTCACCACCCGCCACTTTCTCTCCTTCTGGCCCAGGAGAACCCCACCCCTAACCCCCACCTCCAACCTGGGCTTCAGAGTCTCCCTGCCTGGAGCAGCTCACTGCTAGGCTGTTCTTCCTCTTTCTGTGACAGTCTCTTCTGATTCTTGCCTGAGGGTCCACCTTCTAAGCACCCCCTCAGCTCCATGTCACAATGCCCCACTTCTGCCCATCAGCTAAATTTCATGAAGGAATTAGCTATGCCGGCCATCCATGGGAGTCCTACTGATTTCTTGACCTGTGAAGATCTGTCTTTTGCCCTGACCACATCCCACTGAGGCCCTTCTCTCTGGGTCCTCCATGGGGCCCGCCTTGGTCCATGTCTCCCTTCACCTGTCGGCTTCAGTGAGGTACGTGGAAGCCCCTTCTACCTGGAGCACTCCCATCGATGTCCTCTGAATACCATGCCCTCCCTGCCTTCCTCGCCTCTTGCCTTGGTGTGCTGGGGCCCCACGACAAAGCACCTCAGACTGAGTGGCTTTGACAACCAAAATGTATTCCCTCCCAGCACCGGAGGCTGCCAGCCCGAAGTCAGGGATTGGCAGGACGGGTTTCTTCTGAAGCCTCTCTCCTTGGCCTGTGGACGGCGCCTTCGTCTTCACAGGAGCTTCTTCCTCTAGCATGGCTGCATCCCAATCTCCTCTTCTTAAAAGGACATCAGCCATTTTGGATTCTCGTTTGGATGAGAGCCCACCTTAATAACCACATTTTAACTTAATTACTTCTGTAAAGACCCTGTCTCCAAAGACAGTCACATTCTGAGGCACGAGGCATTGGGACTTCAACAGATGACTTCTGGAGGATGCAGTTCAGCCCTGACACATCCCTTGTGGCTGAGCTTCCTTGTCTCTGCCCAGGCCTCAGAGGTGGGGCTCCTCAGGGCTCCGTTCCAGTCCTCCTCTTCTCACCCCACCTCCTTCGCCTGGGTGGCCATCTCTGCTCCTCCAGCTCCAGATGCTCCCTAGACATGGATAACAGACACATCCACATTTCCCATCCCTACCTGTCTCCTGAGCTCCAGACCAGCAATTCCTCATCTCTTGGTGTCCACTTGGTTATCTCCCAGGAGCCTCCGATGCCTTGGAAATTGGAATGCATCCCCTTTCCTGTGGGTTTGTTCTTCCTTCTCTGTGCCTTAGCTCAGAAATGGCCCCTTCTCTGCTGCCTACGCCAGGAACCTAGGGTCATCCCTTACTTCCCTCTGCCACCCTCACGGAGAGCTGAGCAGTCCTGAATCTTCACTTCTCTCCTTCCCCATCCCCATCCCCACCCCCACCCCCACCACATGGCCCAGGCCCCATCTTCCTCACCATGACCGCCGCAGGGACCCCCTCACCCAGTCTCCCCAACAGCCTCACTGTGTCCACTCCACCTGCCACTCTGCAGCCAGGTCACTCCACTTCTCTACTTAAAGCCTCTAGGGGCTCTCTGCTGGCTTTGGCCCGGCAGCATGTGGCCACACCGCTGCTCCTGGATCTCCTCTCTATTCTCTAATGACATTGAGCTGCTTCAGGGCCCTGCAGTACTGTCCCTCCTCTGTCATGCTAACATATGAAGAGGTGGAGAACCAGCATCCGTTGGCCTGGGATGGAGGGCTGGCCCCTTCCCTCACTTCCCCATGGGTTTACATGGGGTCTTCCAGGAGAGCGTCTGGTGGTCTGGGGCCTGTCTGTCCATTTGTCCATCTTCTCTTTTCCTTTGCTCTCTTCTCCACCCCTCCATAAGGCCCAGGGAACTGGGGTGGGCCCCAGATTCTTGCTGTGGCTGAGGAGGTGTCCTCGTGGGGAAGGGAAGGAGAGACTGGCCTTGGCCTTAGGCAAGGCTGCCAACGGCTGCCTCAGTGTGAGGGGTGGAGAGTGAACACTTTTCAGCTACCACCTGGAGAGACTCTCGGTGCTGCAGGGAAGGGTGGACATGCAGGGGTGAGGCCTTGGAGGAAGTAGCTGAGGCATTCCTGTTTTGGGAGCTAATTGGTGGCAGAGGGATGGCCAAGATGGTAGAAGCTGCAGCAGCTTTCGGGGAACTGAGGGAGCTATGAAAATGAGGCTAGGTCCCTGGGGCATCAGGAAGGGTCACTTATCGTGGCACCCATCCCCTCACATTCTGACTCTCCTAACCGTGGCCTGAGTGAGAGGAGGGAGGTCCGATGGGCCAGGCGGGGGGGATGGGGGCAGGGGTGGCCACATTCCTGGAGTGTTAATGATCTCTGGTCTGGGCAGGAGCTGAGCCCCCAAACCAGCTAAAAACAACAAACAGCTCCCAGGAGGGATTTGTGTCTGTCCTGAGAGTCCAGGATTTCCGCCTGACCGGATGGAGGCTGTGGCCTGTGGAGCTCTTAGCAAAGAAATTCCCCAGAGACCAGCATCCTCCTGGCCCAGAGGCATCACTTTGAGAACAGCCCCCTCCCCTACCCCTTCTCTCCTCCCTCTCTAGTGGGGAAGGGTCCAGCACCCAGGAGGGGAGGCAGGCTCTTCCCCACACACCTGGGAGCGGGAAGAGGAGTCTGGGTGCATTCCTCCTCCAGCTTCCATCCTTACCACAGTTCAGCGAGTGATGCTTTCTTGACATTTTATAAATAAGGACACCAAGGCTCAGTTACAGTAGATGTCAATAAATGTCTGACCAAATTGATGGGTGAATAAAGGAAGTGTCTGGCTAGAAGCTCCAGTCACGCTGGGCCGAGCTGCAGCTGGAACTGGGGTCTGTCTGAACCCAACCAGGATGGCTTTCCACCTCCCTGCCTGCTTCTCTCTGCAGGGCTGGACTTGAGAACTCTGGGGGCTGCCTGGAAGAAGAGGAACCATTGCCATCAGGAGATGCCCAAGTCCTAGCCCTAAGGGATAGTGGAGGAGTTAAGAAGGGGCAGACCTCTCAGGGCTGGTACCATACACACTGCAGCCATGAAGCACCTTTCCACTTGGCTCAAACCTTCCCTCCCTGGGAGGCCTCTCCTGGCCCCAGGTGGTCCAGGAATGACCCCCTCCGGTCTCCCAGCCTCATCGATGTAAATAGTATGGGAATCTAACCAAAAGTCTTATTTACTCACATTCCTTGAGGGCGGGCTCCTTAGTGAGTGCTCAATAACAGCTCTGTAAGGGGATTCCTGCAGAATTTCACCCTCCTGTGCCCTCACATGGTCTCCATCCTTTCCTCTTCCCTTCCCTCTGGGCCTCCCAGCTGGCCCGATCCAGCCTGGAACCTACGTCTGCACCTTCCTTGGGGGGTCTTCCCACAAAATCCTCGGGCAGTCCTTCCCTTTTCCCACGGGGTTCCATACACCACTCCCCTTCCCACCCACAATTCACAAAACCACACCCTGACGCTTGAAATCCTGTATTTATTGCCCGAAGCTCATTAGTATTACACAAATCACATAGATTGAGAAATTTTCTGAGAAGGTTAAAAAGACACTGCAAAGGCCCCTGGGAGTGGCTGAGGCTTGCGTGCGGGGGCCTCACTCTCACTAGGCCAGGCTTGAACATCACCCTGGGTCTGTCTATGGGCCTTTTTCCTTCTCTAGGCTCCTGCCCTTCTCCCAGAGGCCAGAACACGAAACAAGTTGGCTCATAACCAGGAGTGAAAGGGGTCCGTCGACCGGCTTGACTCCATGGCCAGCTTGACATCTTGGTCCCTGCACCCTCACATTGCTGTCTGGAAATGGAAGAAGGGCATCCCCAAGCCTGAGGGGATGTTTGAAGTGATCAGCGGAGGGCCAGGCAGGGACACCAGGGACGGAGAACCACTGCAGGTGTGGGCTGTGTTCCGGCACAGCTGGCCAGCCCCGCCCTGACTGTGGGTCCAGGCTCAGCCTCCGCCCCAGGCATGAACCAATCTGCCCCTCAGGTCTCCCTTCCTCTGGCTTCAGCAGAGTGGGGCATGGGTGCTGGGTGAAGGTTTCCTCTCATGGGGCTTTCCAAAGCCAGACCAGGGTCTACTGGCATAGCCCACTGTCCCTCTGACACTCTCATCCTGGGCTATCTGGATCCTTTGCCACTGCACCGCCACAGGAGCAGACCCCTCGGCTCACCTGAAGCTGCATTTGGGAGCATGACGGAAATCATCCAGGAGACAAAGCAAATAAATTATGAGATGCTGAGGCCACAGGCTGGGCTAGGGCACCCACCTCTGCCAGGCCTCCGGCAGGCGCAGGGTGGGGAGGGGCGGTGGGGAGGCAGTTTTGGTCCCAAGATAAAGTGCACGAGGATAAGAGCCTATGATAGGTAGGAGCAGGGTGAGCCTGAAGTGAGCTTTTCAAAAGAGGACCCGGACATGCCAGCCCTAGTCCAGGCCTAGAGACCCGCACAGTGCAGCAGTCACTGGCATATTCACATTATGGTGTGACTGGCTCAAAAAGGCCTGGCCCTCCAACACCGTGGCACCTCCACGCCCCCGCTGTTTTGTCCTCCAGGTTTGTCCCCCTCCTCACAGGCAGCAGGTGGGCTGCTCCTCAGGAGAGTGGCAGGCCCCTCAGGGCAATGTGCTGCAGAGCCAGCTGGTGGGCACCAGGGGCTGGCAAAGAGGCAATGGCCATGCCCACAGAAGACCCGCCTCAGCACACTTCCGCTGCCCTAAGATGCCGCCCTGCACCAGCCTCTTCCTACACATGAATGTTCACCTCTGGCCTAAATCTCCCCTGAGGTGGAGTCCCCGGGGGAGGGAGGCTCAGGGCTGCAGGTGGAGGCTTGCATACTAGGTGGGGTCAGGAGGGGGCTGCACTGAGGCTAGAGCTTCCCCCTGGTTTGGGCCTTTCAGATGAGGCGCCACCCTGCTCACACCCTCCCCAGGCTCTGCTTCCCTCTGTACAGCTTGCTCTTCCTTCCTAGTCTGCAAGTGGCAGGGAGATGGGAGCCAGCAGCAAGGGGCCTCTGAGGCTGCAGAGTGACAGGTGACATGCAGGTATGGCCCCACCATCAGGCCCAGGCATCTATGTTACCTCCTCCTCCAGAACTGTAAAGTGTTTGGCAAAGGCCAACTGCTCCCGGGATATGGGGTCACATACAGAAGGCAAGGTCCAGGTTCTGAGGCCAACTGCTGGTCCAAAGGGGCCTGCGCCCTTCCCAGTCCAGAGTCCACACTGGGGACATGCCCACGATGACCAGCATCTGAGCAGGACAGGCAAAGATGAGGTCTTGCTGGAGGAGCCAGTGGGAACCCCTTGATCCAGTCTTCTGGTTTCAGACAGGGAGTGGAGGCTCAGAGAAGGGAATGAACTTGTCCAACATCTCAATGCCATTTAGTGCCAGAGCCAGGGCCCACTGCTCCTCGGTTGACGCTGCTTCGCCGATAGGTGTCTAAGGAGCTGGCCTAGGCGTTCTCAGGCATGAGACCTTCCTGCTTAGAAAGGGATGGGATGGGGCAGGCAGCCTTGGTGGCTGAAGAAGCTCCCCAGAAGGCAGCCAGTCCAGTTCCAGCCCCACTCTCAGCCCCGGTGCCCAGCATCCAGCCTGGGGCCTGGAAGGAGGATCTTGAAGAAGCCAAGCGCAGGTCCACGGTTCCTGCCAAGCACCATTCCTTCTTGGGGCTTCCTGCCTGGAGCTGGGGTTGCTTCAGGGGCCCTGAATCAGTGAGAGCTCTACAAAGGGGGACTCTAGCTCCAGGGTCACCCGGTTTCACTCAGAGGGACTGGTTCTGCAGCTCTGGAATGGATGTGGCCTGGCTACATTCAGAGCCAGCTGCCCACAGAATCTTGCAGAGGACTCCAGTGCTCCCTGATTCCCTGGGCCACTTCCTTAGGACCCTAGTCATGGCTAGTTCATCCTGTGGGGTGCAGACCACCTTCTCTCCCCTCCCCTCGCCAGCCCAGGGAGTCATCTGGGCTGGTCATTGTAATATCCTAAATTTACCAGCCTGGCCACCAAACCAACCCAACTCCAGGCCTAATCTGGCTCCCCCCACCTGTCCTCCTGCCACTTCTGGTCAGCTGAAACTAAGGCTCAGATTTGATTCTGATAAAAAATAAAAATAAAAAAGAAACCAAAGTATAAAAGGATTCTAATCCTACCCTATGGGCACTCTACGATTTTTCAGCTTCACACATAATTGTGCTGAGTGGAGTTCTGACAACCCCACATAAGGCCCAGAAATGCACTTGATTATTTTTTTGTAGGAAATGTGTTAGAACTCCTCTCCCTATGTTAAAATGTGAATGGTCAGTCTCCCTCCACTGCAGGTGAAGCACTCTCCCAGGGGGCCCAGGACTGCTGGGGTCGGCGTGCTGCTCCCTGCAGGTGCAGCCGTGAGTCTACAGCCCTGCCCCTCAGCTCCCCGGCTGCACAGTGCTCCAGCCCCAGGCCGCTGACCACACTCACAGCCCCTTGTTGTACACCACTGTCCGGCTGCTCGTGGCCTGGGCTATCTCCGGCTCTAACTGGGATGTTTCAATCTGCAGAGAGAGAATAGAGAGGAAGAGTGGGGGAGTGGGAAGGGGCAAATAGTGGGGCTGGGAGCTGCAGTGAGGACCACCCTGGGCTCCAGAGCTCTGCCTCTCTGCACCCCCATGTCCACCCCAGCCAGGGCTCACGTGCCCTACCTAGTGACACATCTTCCTTCTCCACTGCCCTCCCACCACGGGGCTCACAGCATCCCTTCCAGCCCAGACCCGGCCTCTTTCTTCTGACGGTGTGTCCACGTGGGTGGACATCCTACACATTGGCCTCTGAGTTCTGCATCTCCCTCATCTCTAAGAACCATGTCTGCTGCACTGCAGACCCCCCACAGCCCCACCCAGGGCCATCCCCTGGACCTGATCACCACCCAGGGCTGCCCCACCTCCTTCCATCCAAACGCCACCCTCCTGGGCTCCTCAGTCCCCTGTCTTTCTAGCACCCCACTCACTCCTGCTTCTCTGTTTCCAGTCCCCTAGACCTCAGCACCCACACCCCCACCACTCAGTCTTTACATCTTCCCCTGCAACCTGGACTCCGGGGGCCATCCCTTCAGCTACTCCCTAGCCCAAGGGTCCCTCCCAGGCTGCTGGCAGAAGCCCTGCTTTGGAGAACCCCGCCATGTACCCCACTCCTACTTGAACCTGACCGTGTAATGGAGACCCTCAAAATTCCCTGTCCTTGACTTTGGCTGGACCCCCAACCACCCTGGACAACCACCCTGCCCCTGCCCCCATAGCCAGGTCAGCTCCCTTGCCCACTCTCCAGAGGCCACTGGACACCTGCTCTGCTCTCCTCTCCTCGGCCACCCCAACCCCTGCTCCCACGCATCCCGGGCAGGTGAGACTTCAGAGGAGAACCCCTCAGCTTCTCATTATCTGACACGCTGCCTCCCGTGTCCATGCACAGCTTTCCACTTGCCCTCCTCCTACCCCACAGCTGCCATCCCTCCCCTCACAGGACAGGACCCCACCTGGCTCCACCTCCCCTGCCCACTCCGGGGCCCCCTCCTGGGTCATCCTCCCTCTCTCCCACCTTTGCCCATTAGTGTTCCACACACAGGAACCTTCTCTGATGACACCTCCCCTTCATCCCGAGGCAGGCCCAGCTACTACCTGGTCTCTCTCCTCCCCAGCAGCTACGTTTCTTTAAAAAACTTAGTCTACACTGGCTGTGTCCACCTCCTTCCCTCCCACTGACTTTTCAACCCACAATAAATCTGGCTTCTGTTCTCACCACACTCCAGAAAAATCTCTCTCTCCAAGGTCACTGCCACCCCCCACTTCACGACACCCACTGCACGGTCCTTGGGGTCCTTGGGGCTGGGCCTGGCTGGACCCTCTTCTCTGCACGTGCCCTGGGTTACCCCCACACCAGAGTTCTCCAGCCTTGTTTCTCTCTGGAGCCTCAGGTTCACAGCCGCCTGCCTGCCAGACTTTGCTGTGGACGTCTCACAGGCGCCTGAACTTAACCCACCTGAAATGGAACTGAACCCGCCCTCTCCCCCGGCCCCACTCAGCTCTGCCTCTCGGGAATGACGCTGCCATCCAGTGGTGCTGCTCTGCCCAAAGACTCTGGAGCCTCTTTGAGTCCTCTCCCCGTCCCTCCCCGCGAGGTCTCATCCAGCCCAGTCCGTCCCCAACCACAGCCAGTGCTGGCCTTCTAAACTGCAAGTCTTCCCATGCCTCTCTTCACTGTGAAATGGCTCCATGGCACCCTGATCCTCAGGGATCAAGTCAGACTCCTGTACCACCCTGCCCCTTGGACTGGAGACACAGAGCACACGGACTGATTTTGGTTCCTCGCACACCCTGGGCTCTGTACCCACTCTAGTCTTTGCCTGAGTTGTCCAGAGACGCCCCGTCCTACTTCCATTCCTGCCCCCACTCTGCTCTCCCGTCTTCAGCTCATCATCTTTCGTGTCTCAGCTTTAGACACCTTCCCTCCCCCAGGCTGGGCGTGGCCACTTCTGTGGCCCCCATAGCTCCCTGAACTTCTCATATCCCCACCTCTCCACATTAGATCACAAGCTCCCTGAGGCAGCGGGCGTGCAGATCTGGCTCGCCCCTGCGTCCTCAAAGCCTAGCACAATGCTGGTCCACGGTAGGTGCTCCCTCAGTGTGGAATACATGGGCAGAAAGAAAAGAGCCAGTAAGCACTGGAAGATGGGATCCCCCTGGAGATACCACATCAGCCCCGATGTCGGGCTTTATCTCCAGGGACTGAGCCCATGGGGATGCCTGAACCCCTAACTTGAGGGGGGCAGGTGAGAAAGACACTACCACAGTGAGAAGGTCCCTGCCAGACATTTGCCCTGGACAGAGTCAAGGAGGCACCAGGCCTCTTGCGACGTAGGTTGGTTGAACTTGGTTCTAGGCACCCACCATATGTCAAGATGTGGGAACCCTGGGAAGTGGGCAGAAGGTGGTACAGGCCAGCCTGGCCTTCGGAGAGCTCTGTCACGTCCGGGCTGTGCACACTGGAGTCCACACAAGAGGGAGTGTGGTGAGGACTAGAGCTGGTGGGCACAGTGGGAGAAGAGGGGACCCTTCCTCTGTAGTCCCTGGTGCCCCATTACTCAAGTCTGGTCACCCAAGAGGGCCAAACAGAAGAGAGCTAAGCTGAGGGCCCAGGCCTCTTCCCCACCCCCTCTTCTCAAACCACCTTCTCCCACCCTACCCCTGCCACCCCCAGTCCCCTCCACCCTGCCGGCTCCCCTCGTCCCCACGCTGCCACTGACACAATGCACAGCGCCCACGCTTAAAAATCTAAATGCTTTTGAAAATGTTTAACCTAGTTAGACAAATTAGCAAAAATTTGTGCAAAACAATTTAGGTATTTAAAATATTCAATGTTTTTAAAAAACTGGAAAACTGTTCTTAGCTTTCAGCTGCAAAAACCAACAAAATATAACATCCCAGCAATCTTACCATGAGGTGTAACATAACCCTTCGGGAAAGCTGTTAAACAGCTACTGAGGCATCCTGGGAAATAGCACTTCATTTATTCAAATGCACATATGTCAGGCTTTTGCACCATATGTCATTCCAAGCTATTTACAGTAATAATTAAATCTTAATCAACGTTTAACCTCTGTAAAATGTTTGAAGAATCCTAATCACCCTTCAGACTGCACTAATGAAGGAGAAATATATAAACATAAAAGGAAAATGATGCATAGATATCACGCTGGAAAGAACAGTAATTGCAAAATTGTATTTCTTTTAAATATAATCAGTAAATGATGTAAAGTAAGCCAAGGAGTATTTTAAGTTAAGACATCTTGGATGTCAGAGGTGTGAGCAGCTAATTTTGTTCTGCTACCCATAACAGATGTAGCATATTTTATTTTAGTGCCATTATTAGCAACTTCCCATGCCGGCTTTCACTGAAGCACTGAGGCCCACATTAAAATCAGAGAGGCTGCTCAGCACCACCGTGGAGGACCATGGCCCAGGGCCACGGCCCACTGTGCCCACTCCTTAGAGCATGCTGGCCCGGGGGAGACCGAGGCCTCCTCCTCCTGGTATCCCGTCTCCCCTGGGCTCCCCACCACACACAGGGCAGCAGGTAGGAGCAGGGGGAGATGCAGTGGGTGGGAAGGCTCCTGGGGGAGGTGGCTGAGGGATCAGGAATGGGGGCCCCGGGACAGAGCTGGCATCCTAGGCTTCTTCTCTCATTTCAAGTCAATCCACCCTCATGTCAGCAGATGTTGATGGTCGCCAACTCCAGACACCCAGGCTGGGTACACAGAGCGGGGGACAAGACCAGTTCATGCCCTCGAGAAGCTTAAAGTCTAGAGAGGAGTTGGCTGGTGAAAGCAGATGGAGTCCGGAGAGACAAGCAGAGTGCCATGGCAACTGGGGAGGGGCTGGGAGTTCCAATGTATTGATGAGGCAACAAGGAAGGAAGACTTCTCAGAGGAGGTGAGCCAGGAAGAGAATGGAGAATTTTGATCAGAAAGGGCAGGCCAAGCTTGCTGGGTGAAGAAAAAAGTATTAGCTGGCTAGCACGGCCTGTGTCTGGGAGGTGAGGCAATGTTGGACATGGAAACGTGGCAGGAAATGGAGGTGCTGCTGGGACAGGCAGAATCTTGTATGCTACATGAAGGTGTCAGCATTTTATCTGAGGGCAATAGGGAGCCACAGAAGGACTTTGAGCAGGAGTGGACCATAACCCAGACTCTGTTTTTATTTATTTTTCTCTTGAGATAGGATCTTGCTCTGTCACCCAGGCTGGAGTGCAGTAGTGTGACTGCAGCTCACTGCAGCCTCGAACTCCTGGGCTCAAGCCATCCTCTTGCCTCAGCCTCCTGAGTAGCTAGGACTACAGGCCTGTGCCACCATGCCTGGCTAAGTTTTAAATTGTTTTAAAAATTTTTATAGAGACAGGGTCTTGCTATGTTGCCCAGGCTGATCTTGAACTCTCGGCCTCAAGTGATCTTCCACCTTAGCCTTTCAAAATGTTGGGATTACAGGCGTGAGCCACTGTGCCTGGCCTTAGACTGTCTTAGAAAGGTCTCTCTTGGGATGGTGGGTGTGGAGGATGGACTGGAGGGGTAAGGAGGGGGTGGGGAGGCCTCCTGGGGAGCATCTGTGGGAATCAGAGAAGTGCCAGGTCCTGCCCTATGATGCTGCCAGTGGGGGCAGACAGGAGGAGCCTTTCTGAAGATGAAATCCACAGGAGTTGATGACCAATTCCACGTGGGGGTGAGAGGGAGGTGTTGAGGATGACTGTGCGTTGGATGACTCCTAATTCTAGCTCAGGAGCTGGGGTGGCTGGTGACGCCATTCTCAGAGGGAGGGAATATGGGAGGGGATGGGCCAGGGTTGGGGGTGGTAGGCTCAGGGTGGCCACATTGAGTCTGGGGTGCCAGTGTGCTCCCCAGGTGGAGAGGCCTGGAGGCAGATGGGTCCAGGGCTCTGGAGCTCTGGGCAGGAGAAAGCGCCCGGGATGTGTGAGCATAGCCAGAGCCTTCAGAGTGGAGAAGCTTGCCCAG